ATAAGCATTTTGCCCAACAAGACTGGCAGCCTCTCTGAGCCCCGCTGCATTTTATTTAATTCACTTATTTATAATTGTTGGATATCTTAGTTTTCAATTCACTGAATCATGTCACTTATCCTTTTTAAATGCTCTTCTCAGAGTTTTTTCAAAGGCTGGATGAGCTGTAAAGTGAGGTGCCGGCCACTGCATTAGGCTACGCGTTGTTTGGTTGATAATTAGAGACGAATGAAGAATGGCAGTGGAGCAAGGTGTTAAATGTCTGAGCGTTCACTAAATCTCTCACCCAAACTGTGAATGTCTTGTCAATCTTTAGATTTCTCTACATGCTAATGCAGAGTGCAGGGGCCTGTAAATTAGAGTGGCGTCTGTTTTTACAGCCTTTTCAAAATACCAACAAAAGAGCGAAAACATAAGGAACGGATTAAACAGTGCCTTTGTCTACACTAATGGAAACTGCAAATGTTAGCACATCTGGCTAACTATGTTTCAGGCTACAGTAGCAATAGAGCATTACTTCAAAGAGTTAGCTATTGCTAACTAAATACATGTATGTTATGTTGGAAAAAAGCTATTCAGAGTTTAGGCTAAGGTTAGTGGCTTTTCCCCCATTCTTTATTAGATTTGGGAACATGGGTTGAAAAGTCTAACCTCTATTGCTTTTTGCCTGATAACATTACAGTTTTTCAGCACAGTACAAACAACAGAGAAAACATTATTTAGCTAGTTAGGTAGAGCTGATAAAATCTGCTAGGGACAGTTTCCATTTTAGATGGCATCAGCAGTATCTGACTAGAAATGAAAAGCCTGGTTTTGTCCACTTCTTTCTGAAATCAAGGACCAATTGTTTTGAAAATTCATAAGAATTTTTAGGTTTGTCCCCTAAATGTGGATGGATCAATCAATTACACCCTAAGTCGCCTCACATTTTGTCAGCAGACATGTTCAACTTGTTCTAATTAGTTGTGCCACTGTACACAGAACGATGTAGGAGCAACAGCCTGGCAGGCTGTAGACCTGGCAAACAATGTGTTGTCTCTGAATGACCATAGCACAAAACTAGCCGTGATGGAAGTCGAGACAGATACTGGAAACAGAGGGTAGTGTAACATTTGGAAAGGAGAACACTTGTACAGAGTTGTATAATGTGAAATATAGTTGGATACCACACAGACTAGCACTATCATCATATTCACAATGTGAGGGCGGCATTAATACAAACCCCAAAGGACCCATTATAGTAACAGGGTAGTTACTGGTGTAACAGCATCAGTGAGGTTAACAGAATCGGATAAATGCCAGATTCCTTCAACATCGTCCTCATGGGACAAACGCCTCCAACGCAAGTTTTCTCACCCTCCCTCTCAACTCCATCCATATTTCATTACCAGAAACTCCTCTGCTACAGCCTGTCTGCCAGTGTGTCATGGTGCTGGTCTGGTGTGTATACACACCGAGGACATCTAATATGATTCATACTGGCAACTTTTACCTTGTCCTGACTCCATCCCCTGGATGAATAAGGTGCTGAAACTTCTTCCTGTGACCCTGAATATGCAAACACTGGGAAGTAGTCTGACATTGAAATGTATCTCCTGTGGGGCATCCGAGAAGGGTCATTAATTGGGAGGAAGTGGGCATAATGTTTGCCAACATGACGTGCTGCATAGGATTTATTTTTTTTTATCCAGAAAGAGCAATCTGCTTCATTCCTACTGAGTGTTTTTGACTCTTCAAAATGCCCCTATCTTTCAATCATCTCTCACTTCTATGTAACTAAACATAGCCACAAACTCAAAATCTAACTCAGTCTTATCCCCGTATGTAAGCTCTAACCATAAAAATGTGCTTTTAAAGCAAAACATCCTCACTTTATACAATACTGCTTCCTCTCCGTGAATGCATGGATGCACATCCTTGAATGAAGTGATGAGGTAAAGTAACCTAGCAACAGCTTGCCAGACTCAACAGGTTGAGTACAGAGGGAGGAGAGGACACAAACAATAAAGAGAACTGGAAATGACATCGTCCTCTGCTTTCTGTGGCAGCTTTATCTGCTCTGGCTGATGGCTGAAAGAATATGTTGCAGGGTAAGACAAAAGGACTGACAAGTAGAACTGACATGAAACTTAATGTTTCATACTGACTGGGTATTACAGTATTATAGAATGAATGTGGCTCAATTCTAAATCTCACATTGCACAAAAAGAAAAGAAAATTACACAAGGTATTACTATATTACTGTGTTTATCAAAAGATACCAATGCTGTATATGACTATCACTGAATTTTAAACTGATACATAAAAAAAAGGTTTTGTTTGTTTGGTCAGACCTTCAGAATAAAGTGAAAGTGATTTTATTACAACAGACTTCGACAATCATCAAGGAAGAATTCCATCATGGTGGTGGCGCATACGAAAAATAGACCAGAATGCATTGCAGCAACAAGAAATGTTGAGTATTTTAAAATGCTCTGTTTTGATGAATGATCTCAGTTCGGCATGAAGATAAGACCTCAGCGTTCTCTCACAAGCCTCTCCAAACTTCATGCATTTATATTTTTTCACATAATAAGAGCAGGAGCCACCACCTTCTAGCTTGGTTACTTAAAGAAAACACACAACTCAAAATGGTATTTAGTGGTCAAAGGTTCTATGTTTGTGTTTGTCATGCCAGACCCTCGAGGCCATAAACCCCACTTACACCACTTACAGTATCTTCTCTTAGTCAGCTCTGTACATTCAGCATCCTCTGATAAGTGCATCAATAAAACCCACACGTGCTTATAAGCTTAACTATTTAGCAGATACAGTTTTAAATAGGCTTCCACTATCGCAGATAAAACAGGCCCAGTAGTTTTACCATACTTGTTCTCTCAGAACCATTAGGTTTAATTTCCCCCACAATATACAGTATTTACACATATCCAGCACCTTGACTGAATGTTTACAACTTTTGTCTGGGGGGTTTTCTGAAATATGTTGTGGGAAAGCATAGAAAAGAGCTGACTAAAGACAATGTGAAAGGTCCAGACCACCAAAAAGACTAGCTCATCACAAAACAAACTTGACAAGTAACAGTGTAGGGGTGGTGAACTCCTTCTGTGGACAAACTGGTAGACAATGATGGCGGTAAATAAAGTATTGGATGGGTAGAAGGAACAACAAAATAAGGCCTTGGACAGGGAGGATACCAAAAGGCCCAGTGTGGGAGTTGCCATGGTCGGTTAAGTGGACAGGCAGCCCTGCTGGAGCTCTGTTATCTGTCTGCTGCAGAAAGCTACCGGTGGAGGTGGGGGGGTTGGGGGGGCCACTGCAAGGCAGGACGCACAGTGTGAGAAAGCCTTTTTATCAGGCAAGTGTGTTCTGTGCAAAATCTCAATCTTTCAATTCTTCCAATACATAATCAGTTTAATCTTCTCAATTACTTTTTTCTACAACATTCCTCTTTCTTTAGCCTGAATCGTTTTTATTCATAGTAATGTGTGATGTAATTTTGTTTGCCTTTTTTGTCTCATTGCTTTACATTAACTATAGTGCTACAGAACAATATTTGGAAGAGCAGTTTCCTTTACTGGCTACAGCTCAGAAAGCTAGTAGCGCTGATTTTGAAACATCAATTTCACTGTATGTCAAAGGCTCTACAGCACAAAGACTTGATGCAAATCAATACTGTTGACTAAAGTGATACATTAGCATTAGATGCAACAAGACAGAATACCTCACTACCATGCTGAGAAATGTCCTGGGCTGAGTTGTGTGGTTAGCATAATGGATGTCAAGAGCTCTGTTCTTTCTTCCTATTCAACAGGCGCCAGAAATAGTTAATAAGCACAAGTCACTGCTGATGATCAAATGTGAAACAATATACTCTCAAGACATTACTCACAAGTGTGTGTTACAACACAGCACACTCTCTGAGCTGCATTTGATGAAGTGGCACTAATAAAATGGCACTAATCAGGATAATCATTAATCAAGAATGCACCAAGCTTTGTTTTGATTTCTGATTCTGAATAAAGGCCTAAATAGCTGAGGAACACAAGGACAACACATAACCTTTCTGCATTCAAAGTGTGTTTACACTTACACTGATTTTGGGCTGAAACAGACTTGGAAAGAAAACAAAATCTCACACACTGTACACACGGGCATCAGGCAAAGTGTTGCTGGTGTCCTTTGATTGGTGACTCTTCCCCTCATATAGCCTACATACATTATATACAGTATATTTAATTTTTGTCTCCAAGTGAAAAGTGTTTTAACTGAGTTACTAAGGGCCCTATCTTGTAACAAATGCATGGTGTGCAGCGTGGGTAGCACATCTGTGTCCTTCCTGCACAATTACCATTTTCATGACATGCGCATCATGTTGCCTTTTTACCGAGCAGCAGCCTGTCGACTTCGTGCCGGCAGGTGTGTCTGGATGAAAATGGGGTGTGTCCAGGTAAATATTTAGCATGTTGGTAATAAGAGACTACACAAAGTGGCTGCGCCACTAACTAGCAAATAACAGGTCTGTGGTCAACAATGAAATCATCATTGCTAGTTAATGGGTGCTTTGACTGTGTTGTGATGCGCTCCTGTCCAGGTGCGTGCACAATGCTTGTGCACTGTGCTTGTTATACCCTGGAACATGCCGAGCAGGACATGTAAAACTTAAAAAATAAAAAGGGGACATTGTGTTCACCGGGTGTTAAATTATTTATAATAAATACCATTTGATTAGTGATCGTGCGCCTTCATCTCACGCATGAGCAGATCCATTACCTCAGTGGGAAATCTTACTGAAGTCTGACCTGGCAAGTCCACCAGTATGCTAGCAATCCACCAAACGTTCAAACTCACGTCTGTGAGGCTACACACCGATTGGATAATTACATGTTATACCCAAAACACACTCCTGCTTTAATGAGGAGATCAAGTACAGACCTTTTGCTACTTTCTTTATTGTCAAATTACCAAAATGAACGTGGACACACCCAAACACCACTTGCGCCGATACATCTTGATCAGATGTAAAAAAAAAAAAAAAGGCTGTTGTACCAAATCATAAAGCAAAGCCCACATATTCAAATACTGAGCTGACTATTAAGAGAATCAACTAATGTGTGCTGGTCAAAAAAGGGACCTGAGGTTAGTTTGACAATCACCATGAGTCTCTCGATGGCTTTATATTAAAGAGGTGGACTTGTATTAGTAGCTCCAATTGATTAGTCAATACCCATAATCTGATTTCATCTAACATTTATAGAAACGCTAGGCAGCTTAGACAGCACTTACTATCTCAGCAATGTATATACAAAGGTTTTTTAGAGTTCAATAGTGTTGAATAGTAACATAATAGTAATATAATAAAAACTATCTGAATGTATGTGGGTATATGAAACACACAGTGACACACACTAACGTAGCAGCTGACGAAGCCTGATCTATATAGTGTGTGACTTTGTCTCAGTCTGAGGAGCCAGTAATCAAACACATTTCTGAGTAAGCTCTGGAAGGTCACCTTTGATACATATGAAAGAAAAAAAACGGTTACGCATTACTTTGCACTGCAATACCCCAGGGCTGCATTTGTTCCGATGATGCAAACTAAAGGTGAAATTGGCAAAATATCTCAATGCTTTTGTAACTTTTTTTTTAATATCCGAGTAGACCAGAGCTTCTTGAAACTTCCGTTGCCTATGGTGTGTCTCCATGCCCGGACGCAAAGCTCTTACACCTGCTTCTGTTGGGGTTCCTTAAGGTAAAGGCCAAAACAAACAGAATTCTCTGAATGCAAACATAATAACCTAGGAAGTAAAATATTAAATTTGTACCTCATGCCCTCAGTGGACTTGTTCTGGTAATTGCAATAGAGCTGCGGTGTGCCCAGCATTGCTTCAGTGAAGACGGCCAGGAAGCCGAGGGTCTCCACAAACATCACAGAGTCCAGGAGGAGGTAGGTGATATAGACCGCCACCAGCGTGAAGGCCACCACGCACTGCACATAGTCCACAAAGTGACTCCATGACCAGAAGTAGTTCCAGTCAAAGTCTAAAGGTGCACAACACAGGGAAACCAGAAATGATTCTATAGGAATTACAAGTTTTTTTTTAAAGACTAACCACTCCAAGGATGACAGATGAGAACTTATATAGATGAGCACTACTGGCACAGTAACAGAAACATTATTTGATTTGCTGATTTAGCAAAATAAAGACAGTAAAGCAAAGTCATTGGGAAAAAGAGACATGAACTGCTGACATAAAAAAAAGTACATTTTCAGACATACTGCAGTGGAAGAGTTTAATTTCTAATAACAGCTGAGTGAAAAACAAAAGTTAAAAGTCGAGGTGGGAGGGTCTACAGAATGCAGTGGCATTCCAAAACACAACATGGCAATGCTAAGCTTTTCTTAAAATGGCATTTTACCGATTTAACGCATAAGGAGTCACCGTTTCAGTGACTGTTGCTTAATGTCGTCAGTGGCTCTGGAAGGAGCTCTGTGAAATGTGAGGAAGTAAATGTCAACAGGGCTGTTTAGAAAATAAAAATTTAGACAGCCTGCGTAACAAACTAGAGCAATGGAACCCATACTGTGAACAGAAAGTCAAGACATGTCAAACCTCTTGGCCATTGTTTTTAATCTGTCTCCCATGGCTGCCCCAACTTTGTATGAGGGCACTGCTAAGGTAGTAATAAAGCTTTACTAGTAGTTCTTGAAAATGGCAGCTGTGAAAATGCCATAAAAAAAAACAAAACAAACAAGAGTTATCATCTCAATGCGCTCAGTCAATACAAATGTAATAAACTGCACTTCTCAGTTTCCAGTACTGGAGGAAATAATCTACTGATCCTGTCTGTTCTTTTTTGAACTATAGTTAGTTAAAAAGAGGAAGTAAAAACCCTATTATTATTTTTTTTAAGCAGCCTTCCCACTTCAGCTGCAAATACTCACACGACTCCTACACACCCCTTTTCGTATTTAAAAAGGGGCTATCACTTATACAAATAGGCCATTCAAACTGCCTCGAGTTCAGACTTATTCTCATTCAGAAGTTCAAGTGCAGGACCATTGGTGTGGAGGTTTGTGGTGAAGAGGGAGGGTGACAGTCAGCTGAGGCTACTGTGTATTTTCCACACAGTAGTAATGGACTGGGTGGACTGATTAATGATTTAAATCCTATCTTCGACCATAACACCTGTCGTGTGTGTTCTTTCTCCAAGCAAATTATTAGATAAAGATTCTGAGAACAACAACACTGACTTCCTGTAATAAGCAAGTCCCTGGTACTGCTTTAACTGCAGCTGATAAAGGAACAGGTGCAATAAGCAATACTACACCATCTTTACATGTAATGCTAAACCACATTCAGCATAGCTTTACAGTATGAGGGCTGTAAAAAACACACTGGCTGTTGGTAGCTGCGACTTTAATGTAAGAATACAGATTAGAAGAGTTCATTAGGAAAATCTAATCAAGGCTCAAAGCTAAAGATGCTGCTGCGCTGCTGTATCCTAAATGGGATTTCTACGCGTCTCAAATTGCAACAGCCAATTTGTTAAATCATGTTTAAATGAGGCTTCTTCTTGACCAAAAGGCACAAGCATAACAAAGCTGTAATCATACAGACTTTTCAATATGCATGGAGAAAAAAAAAAACTGCAGCCCTTCTCATTCGATTCCAGGAAGTGTGGTGACAGGGCTAGAGGGACATTCAAACAACATGGTGCAGCTTTTCCTGCAACGTCGCTATCTGGCAAGGCGCTGCTTTGGCTTATCACATAGGCTACATGCAAGCGCCCACTCCTGGTAGTGTGCTTTGCCACATGAACATTGTATTTCTGCTGTTTACTTTGAGATCTTTATGACCAAATATAAAATAGTGCAGCTTGGTTAACTTTCAAAAGCTGCAAAATCCTGTGTGAGTATTACAAAACAGCTGTGTGTAGTGTTTTAGCGTCACACATATAAATCTGCTTCTTGAACTGGAATTTTGGGACCAGATGTTATTGTTCGGTAAATGAGACGCACCAATGTAAATAACTTAATTACAGACAGCTGTGTTTATGTCTGAATGAATACGAGTTCATCTGAGAATTAACAATGACCAACTCTGACATTTAGATGGCATTTCTAAATGAATACACATGGCAGACACAATTCCGTGCAAGGTAACTTAGCTTTGCAATATTCCACAAATCTAACTGGTCCTTTCTGACAGGCAAGTCAAACAAATCCAATAAATGTAGCAGAATATATGACAAAGAGCAGTTCAACCCTGGTCACACACCAAGCACAAAGAGCTAAACGAAACACTACAACTGTAAGATGACAACACTACACAGTGTTGAACAAAAGATATGCAAACACCTCTGAAAATGTGCAACAGGGCATGCATTTCTGTTCTGAGTATAATGAACACTAACTATATCTGCCGAGAACTGATGTGTGTTGTATAACAATGTTTATTCTTTGGCACTGTAGCTGCAGATGCCTGGTGTACTGTTAGCAACAGAGACAGAGGAGTGTGACACTGGGCCAGCTAGCACCAAGCTGGTGCTGCCTGATAACAGCCAAACACAAGGGGAAGCAATCAGGGTCAACAGAGCATTCAAACAGCGCAGGTTGGCAGTTAGCAGTGCCAACCTGCCTGCTAAAGGCACACATGGTTTCCCACTAAACACAACACTGGACATACTGTATTATACATGCAATGATGGCTCCCAATGATGGTATAACTGAGCACTAGCTTAGGCTGTAAACTGGCACATATTGGCAGGAGCACCAATATTTGTAATGTTGTGCTTTGATATTTAGCTAGCTAACAGTATGTTCCACCCAACTAAGCTGACTTTCGGAGACAGCTTAACACAAAACAGTGCCACAGAAAAAAAAAAAAAACCCCAAAAAAACCCACAAATCCTTTGACAGTGTTAAAGCTCTTTTAGACTGCCCTCAAATGACAAAAGAAGTGTGTAGCCTACTACTCCAATAAACAGGAAAGAACCCGTTTTGTACTCAGTATTAAATATATTAATATCTCAACACCAGTCAGTCAGAACTGATGAAGCCTCTTGGATGAGAGGTGAAATGTATTCAACCTAAAAATCTAGTGCAGTTGATTTTTCTAAGTTTTTTCAGCTTACTATGACCTGGATGACTGAGAATGTGCACGAACTTCTTGATGTATGGCTTTTGTCTGTAGCAGAGTTGGCAATACTGAAGAGTGACACACTCGTTTCGATGACACTAACGACTGGGAACCTAAATGCAGACTGAATATGCATGAGCACAGCTTTTAAATCTTAAAATAAAAATATTACATTTTTATTACATTTATTTTAGCCACAGTCTGAAATTTCCCATGTGGTGAAATTACTTTTTTTTTTTGCATCTTGAGATTCTGCACAAAACCACTTTATGAACACCTCTGACTTTAACAAAAAATAACTTAATTTTATATATATATA